ATACTAGGCGGTAATCAATGACATGTAAGAGACCTGTCAACTACGGAACAGCATAAAAGTTGGAGACAACTGAACTTAAGGTGCATTGTGCAGGTTAACAAAATAGGGCGTGAATTAACAGGAGCGAGAAACGGTGCAGCAAGGTACTCACTGAGGAAATGTGTGTCAATGGAAGTGTCGTCAGGAAAACAAGTGGATGTTTTGATGCTTAAGATAACGGTACAATGCAGTTATGAAATATTGAAGGGGTGTGTTTTCTGGTACACTACCGCATTCGGATCAAACTTTGGGGGACATGGAATTTGGTTTGCCATACAGAACTATTTTATGTAACTTTAGTTTTAGACAAACCAAGTGCTTGAATTTGGCGTCACACGGTGACAGTTAAGATGTATGAGTGAGCGAACAAGATTTTATTTTTCTCACACTTTGTCATCTATCACTGCACTATGTGTTGTTCGGTATGCTTGCATTTTATTTTTATTTTTACTTATTATTTAGCAACGCATTTAACCCGGTAGATCCCTTATTGGATGAATAATAACTCTTTTGGTTTTGTAGTCTTCACGCCAACCATTCTACCGGACTTATCTAACACCGGCTTTTTAATCCATGCTAGGTGCTTGTCCATTGAGATACCGGCCTTTTGTTAATATTCTTATCACAATGTTTCATAATTTACACATTTCCCAGAACCATCGTGTTCATCAGGGTGGATGGAAATCATTGTAATGACACGCTATACACCCGTGTCCGATTTTTACTTTGTAGATCGTTTACGTAACGGCAACTCTTCCCTACGTCTTCCTGACCGTCATATTTATCAGAGGATGCACTCTACCAGGCGCCTGGACCGGGTTGAAGTTCTACATCGTACCCAGTTGGGACAGCTTAATGAAAATCCAAGTGAGTGTGTTTGTGTGTGTGTGTGTGTGTGTGTGTGCGTGTGTGCGTGTCTGGTGAATACAATCGCGTGGCATTCTGACTCGGAACATCGACTGTCAACGATAGATAGCACGATGATCTGATAATGCATAATGAAGGGTATAATATTCAGCAGAGCCATAATTGCTTCAGAGATTTTGAAATGCTGGTTGCAAATTATTTTATCCCTGGTCAGTAGTTGAGCACTGCTTCTTCTTCCTCTTCAAATAATGCATCACTACCAAGGTGTTGATTTAGAAGCAAACGTAGGTGGCTCAGTTTGTTCATTTGTCAGAGGAACCATACGCTGAGCTAGACAGCCCTGCTGCAAACCTTTCGTCACCCGTCGAGATGACATCTTCAGTATGTTAGTGTGGAGCGTGACACTAAGAATAATTTGATCAACCGACCCGTTGATTTGGAAGCCGTTTACTCAAACATTGGAGCGAAGAAACACCAAAGCAGTCCAGTAACCCTAATGGAAGGGGATGCCATACGAAAATGTCGGGAAACATTTTCAGGTGCGAATGAAACCAGGCCATTGTCACGACGCATGGGTCGCGGAGGCTACTTTCTGAGCTCTCACATGCAAACGACCTATGGCGATGACCGAGAAATGCACAAGCCCGCGACTATTCGGTTCACACCTACTTACACATTGCTCCGCTCTGCTGCACGCTAACACACTGATGATGCCACCACGATTGGTGGCGAAATGTTTGCAACAGTTACTAACCTCAGGAAAGAGTTCGTCCAACAGATCATATTGAATCAGGTCTGAGGGCAAGTGATCAGACTCGAAGAACACGGCTGCTGCCTTGTAGTACCCTTTATGCTTTAAACGGCCAGACATTTTTAACATGTCCCCACTGAAGTCGCGAATTGTATTGCTTTCGCATACCAAAGGGGTAGAAGTTTCGGCTACTATTCCAATGGTCGTGGGATCGAGGCCTGCTGTCTCCACCTGATGAGATGAAATTACATCGAAACGCGTCGTGCCTGTGCAGTGTTTTCGGGTGGGCAACACCCAATTTCCATCTGCTTTGAGTACGGTCCCAGTGATCGCAGTGACTAAAGTTCCCTTCAATGTGAACCACAGTCCATTACATTGAGATTGCGCGTCGCAATACAATCACACAACATGTAGTCCAAATTTGACCCTCCAAAAAAAGCTTTCTCCTCAACGTTTTAGGTACTGTCCGTAAAGAACCATTCACTTCCTTTGAATGCTGAAGTATATTGAGAAATCAAATGGAAGTAAATACTATTTCTCTGCCTGAAGAACTTGGTACCTTTACATGTACACACATCCCTTACGCAGTATCTACAAACATAATCGGTTAATCTATTTTAGATACCGGCTACATTGGTAAGGGAGCCGGACCAGATTATTTATTTTCAGATCCGAGGATGTTCTTAATAATAATATTATTATAAGTGGATATTATGGGACGCTGGTATCCGCTAGCGTTACTGTATCACTGACCAACCATATTTCAGTCCATCAATTTGCCTTTGAGTCAAATGGGAAGGCTTATATATTCGAGGTTTTGTTAATAAGGTTCGCCATGCTGATACTTACCACTAACCTTCTTCGAAATACATCTGTAAGTTGTCTCGGTGTGAAAAGGAGTTTGGCGTGAAAACGTTGCAGTACCCCTGACACACAGTTCAAGAATTCTTGCTCAACTCAAAACTTAGTCGGCTTAAATGCACAAGTAGATACTTATCAGGGGTTTCCACTCGTCCTAACAACATACTTAATTACATCACCGCCGAATGCTAATTTCTTATTCCTGAATTAATAGAAGAGCTCGTATCTCGAAAGCGACTCTACGAGTGACTTCTGCGGAAAATTTAGCCCACCATTGGACTACCTGTCAAGTAGTGCCAACACATTTGAACATTTGGTCTGAGGTTTCATTTTGTGACCTTATTTCGTAACAGCAAATTAGTTGCAGTGTAAGCCAATTGGATCCCAGTGCGAAACGGTTTCGTCAAATCGAGGAATTTACCTTTAGTTTTCTTGGCTAGGTGAGATGGATGACGGGATTTTTCTAATCCTGTTTGCGACTGTCCCCGTTCTTTGGCATCTAGTTGGAATAACTCACCTTTAACCACCCTGCATTAAGTAAACGCGAACCAGGTGATATCTTCTTTGAAAACAGAAACGCGGCTACGTCTAACATTCATCTTATTTACTGTGCCTGAAGTAACAATTCATTCCACATGAATTTGCAAAATCCATCCCACAAAGGTAGGTACACTCTAATTCATGCTTCACTCTCAAAAGGTTTGGATTGCAGCTGCCACTCAGATATTTTATTCCCTTGGACCGGCTTGGGGTGGTCTCGTCACGTTCGCCTCGTACAATCAGTACAACCATAATGTGTTGCGGTAAGTCATCTGTTTGGATTAAGTCTTTGGGAATAACCATGGTTCTGACCTCACGTGATCATATATTCCCTAACAAACAAATGACAGCGCGGCCCACAAGATGTTAGAATCGGAAGTAAATATAGGTGTAATTCTGATACAGATAAACTACAACTATATATATATATATGAACCCGCAAGTGATGCCTAAAAAAGAACTGGGTTGCGCTGCATTCTCAACCTTATTTCCAGAAGCAAATGTGTTGTCCCCTGGTATTCAAGAATGGTAGTACGTCTTTTTAATTATATACCTATGAATTTCGAATTTTGTGAGCCAAAATTTTTCTGACTCAGAAGCGAAATCATCATTGTTAACGACATATAAGACAACTGGATGACGGGTGTTCAAACTTATTTGTTATTTACACAGTCTGGGAAATCTGTGACATATCTACTTCTTGAGTCATCAGTTTCCGTAAAATCACCGGAGGAATTGAGCACCTTACTCTTCAAGGTACTGAACTAGGTGATGCTAACTTTTTCAATACGTGAAAAAATTAACGGTACGCTTTAGTGTTTACCTAGAATAACGTACGGCGTAAAATTTTGATACACCACGTAACTGTTTTACTGTGACTCCGTAAGTCAATCCGTTAGTAATTATCAAGTCGTTTATTATGAACATTGTTTTCGTTAAGCTTCACAAAGCTAGAGTTGCGACATCGCAAACAATGAGGAAAAACATTTGTTACTTTGATCAATATTCGGTTATACTACTACTTAGTCCGGTGAACGTCATTGCATTTGCTGTGAATTTGTGTCCCAGGTGTACTAGATTATTCGCCAACTCTTCCTCACTAGATAAATGCAATCTTATTGGAGTTCAGTGAATAATTCACCAAGCACATTCATATCAAAGGTTGCTATTATTGGTCATAGTTACTAAATATTTTCAAGTAGCATTGCCTTACAGCCGTCTATGTAAGTAACACCTTCCTTTATTGTGTTCTGAAGTACGCACTGAGTATCTGGATTGCGACGTGCGGTCTAATTTGATGCCACAATTTACTTTGAAGTATATCTCACTCGTTCCATCCACTGGGATCGATCCGAAGTTGAGAGTTTTGTTGCTACGCTCATTTCACTCCTCGACTAGTTTCGATCTTCTATGGCATATAAACAATTGAGTTGTCACTAGTAAGAAAAGTAAATGCTTAAAAAATCCAGAAAACAGATAGCGAGAACAAACCGTTAATGTAGGAAGAAATAGTAGCGCGGATCGGTGAACTTACCGTAAGACTCACATGTGCACATATTTGGGTTCGCTGTGTGGCATAACTATTTCGCTGTTATCGCTCAAGGGTTTTTCCTGCTACAACTTCCCTCAGCGCAGACGTCACGCACGCATTCGAATCGAATCACCTTCCCGTAAACAGTGGCACGCTTTTCTATATGGATCGTGATTACTGCAACCCATGTGTATTTTGCGATTATCGTGTTCAAGTTCACACGTACAACTTTTAACAATCCGCACAGGCGATGTATGGCATTGGATAATTTATCATGCACACTATCCGATAATCCCAGAAAAGAGCCGTCGAAAGCACTGCTCAAAACATGCAGCTAGAGGAAAAGTGAACATGCGACATGTTGTGAAATTATTAACAACATCACCATGGTCAGTCACTGACGCTCCAGGCAGAGTTTAGAGACGAAGGTAAGGCACACACATACAAATTAAATCATAGGGTGTCTTTTACAATCAGCAAACTAAAGTGAAACAAGGTATTTCATTCAAAATAGTACGTCAGAAATTGAAGGTTGTGGGATGACACTGTTATTTCCTGCTTCTCGTC